CTCAAGAGATACATGTTGGGGGGCCAAACGGCAATTCTAGCTGAGGCGTCCCACCAAAATCGGCGCGAACGGGCTCGTGAGATCAGCCAGGGTGGCTCCCCCTTGGGGCTCCCAAATGATGCCCCTGGCAGCGTTTTGTGACCATGAGGCTCTCAAGAGATACATGTTGGGGGCGCCAAACGGCAATTCTAGCTGAGGCGTCCCACCAAAATCGGCGCGAACGGGCTCGTGAGATCAGCCAGGGTGGCTCCCCCTTGGGGCTCCCAAATGATGCCCCTGGCAGCGTTTTGTGATCATGAGAGAGTGTGAGTGTGAGTGAATGTGACTGTGAGTGAGTCTGAGTGAGAGCGAGTCTCATCTTATCTTATCGAGTCCTATCTTATCTTACCTTTTATTACCCTCTATCTTATCTTATCTTGAAATCTCTTATCTTGTCTCAGCTTATCTTATATCAACTCATCATATCGCATCATATCTTGTCTTATCTTATTACTCCATAGGCTGTCTGATCTTATCTATTATCCTACCTTGTCATATATCTTATCTTACCGTATCATATCTTGTGCTATCTTATCTTATCTTGTAGTATCTTATCTTGTCTTGTCTTATCTGGTGATTATCATTGGGAGGAGGGAGGCGGGAGGCGGGAGGAAGAAGGAGGAGTGGGAGGCGTCAGAGTAATAACAAGAACCCCGATCCTTAGGATATGGGGAAAAATCAACGAATCGACACCGGAAGTGTATTGACTGGACACGTTCTGATTGGGGGCCTCCTGGGGCCTCCTGGGAGCCTCCTGGGTGTCCTGCGGCCTCCTGAAGCTCTCTGGGGCCTCCTGGGAGCCACATGTGGTCTTGTGGGCCCCCAGGCTGGACCACCTCTTGCGCAGCATCTGAGAGCTCAGAGTTGCGAGAATGTCTTGTGCGGAACGGGCCGGACCACCTTGCGCACGGCATATCAGAGCTCAGAGTTGCGAGGATGTCTCAGGCGAGATGGGCCGAGTCACCTCGCGCAGGGCATCTCGGAGCCGAGAGTTGCGAGGATGTCTCCAGCGTGACGGGCTGGACCACCTCGAGCGCGGCGTCTCAGAGCTCCGAGTTGCAGGGGCCTCCTGGGGCCTCCTGGGGCCTCCTGGGACTTCCTGGTGACCTCCTGGGGCTTCCTCCTGGGCCTCCTGTGGCCTCCTGGACCCCACCTGGGGCTTCCTGAAGCCTCTTGGGGCTCCCAGGGGGGGATGTCTAACATGTGGCCGTCGGCGCCCCCCAAAATGAGGGAGGGGGGCCACAAGAGCAGGACAAATCAACGAATCGTCACCGGATTTGTATTAACTTGACACGTTCTGATAGGGGGCCTCCTGGGGCCTCCTGGGAGCCTCCTGGGAATCTCCTGGGGACCCCTGGGGCCTGTCTTGGGCGTCCTGCGGCTTCCTGAAGTTCTCTGGGGCCTCCTGGGGCTCCCAGGGTCCCAGGGAGGATATGTAACATGTGGTCTTGTGGGCCCCCAGGCTAGACCACCTCTTGCGCCGCATCTGGGAGCTCAGAATTGCGCGAATGTCTTGTGCGAAACGGGCCGGACCACCTTGCGCACGGTATCTCAGAGCTCAGAGTTGCGAGGATGTCTCAGGCGAGATGGGCCGGACCACCTCGCGCAGGGCATCTCGGAGCTGAGAGTTGCGAGGATGTCTCAGGCGAAATAGACTGGACCACCTCGCGCGCGGCATCTCGGACCCCAGAGTTGCGACGATGTCTCGGGCGAAACGTGCTGCGAGGAAGTCTCAGGCGAAACGGGCCAACCACCTCGAGCGCGGCGTCTCAGAGCTCCGAGTTGCGGGGGCCTCCTGGGGCCTCCTGGGACCTCCTGGTGACCTCCTGGGGCTTCCTCCTGGGCCTCCTGTGGCCTCCTGGACCCCACCTGGGGCTTCCTGAAGCCTCTTGGGGCTCCCAGGGGGGGATGTCTAACATGTGGCCGTCGGCGCCCCCCAAAATGATGGAGGGGGCCACAAGAGCAGGACAAATCAACGAATCGTCACCGGATTTGTATTAACTTGACACGTTCTGATAGGGGGCCTCCTGGGGCCTCCTGGGAGCCTCCTGGGAATCTCCTGGGGACCCCTGGGGCCTGTCTTGGGCGTCCTGCGGCTTCCTGAAGTTCTCTGGGGCCTCCTGGGGCTCCCAGGGTCCCAGGGAGGATATGTAACATGTGGTCTTGTGGGCCCCCAGGCTAGACCACCTCTTGCGCCGCATCTGGGAGCTCAGAATTGCGCGAATGTCTTGTGCGAAACGGGCCGGACCACCTTGCGCACGGCATCTCTCTCAGGCGAGACGGGCCGGACCACCTCGCGCAGGGCATCTCAGAGCTCAGAAGTTCGAGGATGTCTCAGGCGGGCTCCCAGGGTTCCAGGGAGGATATGTAACATGTGGTCTCTGGGCCCCCAGGCTGGACCACCTCTTGCGCGGCATCTGGGAGCTCAGAGTTGCGAGAATGTCTTGTGCGAAAAAGGCCGGACCACCTTGCGCACGGCATCTCAGAGCTCAGAGTTGCGAGGATGTATCGAGCGAGATGGGTCGGACCACCTCGCGCAGTGCATCTCAGAGCTCAGAAGTTCGAGGATGTCTCAGGCGAAACGGGCCGGACCACCTCTCGCGCAGCATCTCCGAGATCAGAGTTTCGAGGATGTCTCAGGCGAAACGGGCCGGAGCACCTCGCGCGCGGCATCTTGGAGCTCAGAGTTGCGAGGATGTCTCAGACGAAACGGCCCGGACCACCTCTCGCACGGCATCTGGGAGCTCAGAGTTTGGAGGATGTCTCAAGCGAAACGGGCCGGACCACCTCTCGCGCGGCCTCTCAGAGCTCAGATTTAGGAGGATGTCTCAGGCGAAGCGCTCAATCCCGGACAACTCAGAAACGAGAGTTGTGAGGATGTCTCAGGCGAAACGGGCCGGACCACCACATTTGTTTGAGGATGTCTCTGCTTAGCTTTCCCTCGGCCGGAGTTAGCTTCTATCACAACAGCACCCCGTTCAGCAAGCTGTTTGGGGAACAAACCGAGGATTCATAAGGAGATCATTCCCGCCTTTGATGCCGCAGGAAAAAGAGGTGCCGTAAGCGTGCAGGCCCTCGATCTCCGTTTTCAGGAACTTCATGTCCTCTTGAGAACCATGCGTTTCTTGAAGAGCGATGACGGCGGATTTCGGAATGAGTTTGCGCAGTTTCGACATCGCGTTGACGATCGGCTGGGTCGGCGGCGACGCGGAAACAAAAAGGGTCTGCACATTCCACGTTGTGATAGAGAAATAGCCAGAGAGAATGAAAGGCTTGTCGGGCAGGGAAGAGCTGACACTGCTGGCAGGAGATGGATAGGAGGATCCCGAAGGCGAGGGGGGAGAGGCAAACTCGCCGTCCGAGCAGGCGTCGATGATCATTTCCATCTCATAACAGCTGCACTGGAGGCGCTGAACAAAGTCTGGCTGCAAATCGAAACTCGGTCCGGGCGGGGTGGGCTCCAATTCCATGGCGGCTGCTATCATGGCAGCAGCGGCGGTCGGGTCGATGCCGTACTTGACCAGGTTCTCGTCGTGCGGCTTGCATTCGAACTGCTTCCGATCCGTCGTCGGGAGCTCGAAGAGGGTGAAAAGGCAGTCGTTGTACCTTAGGTAGAGGAGGCCCGCGAAGCCGTTGGAGCCAATGGCGCAGCCGTCCTTCCACGCGCCGTCGCGCTTCATAGCGCAGGTGACAGCCTGCCAGAGCCTTCCCAGGTGCTTGTCCTTGTTGCGGATCTCCGAGGGTGCGTCGTAGCGGACGCGCAGGGTGATGACGGCGCTGGTCGCCCGATCCTGGAACTGGATGCCCGTCGCGCGGTGGTTGTCGATGAAGGCGGTGGCCGCCTTTTCGTTGCTGAAATTGATGCTGTAGGACTTGTTGAGACTGTAGCCCATGATCGTGGCGCCATCAGAATGGTGGGGGGCAATCAGGCCGAGGAGTTTCTTGCCGTGTTCTCGAGCGTGGCGCCGGGCATCGGGGAGACGAAGCCGCTGACCCATACTCTGCCTCGGGCACGGGAAGAGGCGTTGAGAGGATCTTCGTGTCTGCTGTGATGGTGGCCCGCGGTCTCGGAGCGGGAGCGCTTGATGCCTTGCGAGGACAAGCCGAAGGAACGCACACGGCTGGCACTCGAACCTGCGGTACTGGAAAGTGAAGAGATCTTGGACCCGAGATGCTGGATGTTTGCCAGCATCTGCCTTCGACAACAGCAGCTATGCCCTTGGCCTCTAGAGTGTCCAGGCGGGCGGTGATCGCGGCGTTCTGGACTGCCTGCTCCTCGAGCTGGCCCTTAATCAGTATGATCTCTGCTATCGCCGAGTTGATCCCTGCGAGCTGCGATGAAAACGTGGTGTTCGTACTATCCATCTTCATGAGCATCTCCTTGATGCCTTTTTTTCCATGGCTTCGGCCGCGGATCCCGACATGGCGCTGACATAATGCCGCGGAGAGAAAGAGAGGGGTGCCCGCTCGGGCCCGACACCCGAATCGCTCACTGAAGCGAGCTGCCCGCTCTTGCGCAATCGCCCCAATCGCACTTGAGCAAAAATGGCTCGAGCCAAAATGGCTACGGAAGGAGAGGGGGGGAGGAGGAGGAGGGGGAGGAGGAGGAGGAGGAGGAGGAGGAGGAGGAGGAGGAGGAGGACAACGCGCCCTGGAAAGCGGCGTTCCTGGATACATTGCCCTCTCCGTGACTTGATTACAGATCCTTCGTCGCATGGATTTGCATGCCCACCTCTCCCATGACATGTCGCGCCATCTGCTGTGTTTGTGCCCCCGCCTCTTGCCCATCTAGGTCGTGCTGCTGCCAGCCCAGAGCTGGCATATCTGCATGCCCTCGCGCGCGCCGGTCCTGCCCCCTGCGCTCCAAGAGCAAGCGGCGCGCCTCCTCCCGCTTCCTCGGCTCTCTCCCTCCCTGCCCGCCCCGGAGGCCCCCGCCCACCGTCGCCCGCCGCAGGGCGGGCCTCCAGGTGCGCCAGCAGCTCCTTCCTCCTGTCGACGCCCACGCCCTCGAGCACGGACCTGCGACGCTCTCCCGCCGCGGGGGGGGAAGCGACAGGGGAGACAGCCACCTCGTCCGATGCCCCTGTCAATGCCCCCTAACTGCTCTGCTGCTCTAATGCTCTACTGCTCCTCCTCCTCCTCCTCCTCCTCCTCCTCCTCCTCCTCTTCCTCCTCCTCCGCATTGAAGAGAAGAAAGAGAGAGCGGGCACGAAGCGAGCAAGGGAAGAACGGGCGGTCAAGAAGCGAAGGGGCGGGGCGCGTCGGCTGAAAGTTCCGCTGATATTATAACGAATAATGCAAAATCCGAGGCCCCCGCCTTCAGCGAGGGGCTCCTCCATCGATTCGAATTCTAATTGAATTCGCGGGCCTTCACCGGGAACATTTCGGCCACCCGCAGGTCGGATATTCCGGCCGCCAAGACGGAGGAGGGGAGGAGGAGAGGGGGGGACGAGGAGAGGGGAGAAGGCGAGGCGCAACAATCAAGCAGGGGCGGCCGGCCCAGAGAGAGAAAGGGAAGGTGGGCAGGGGCCCGGGGGACACGGGGGGAGACGGGGGTCGGGCGTCGGCGTCGGCGGTCGTGGCCCACTGGCGGGCTGTCGTTGCCGCCAGTGCTCGGTGTCGTCGGTGGCTGTCGTCGGTGGTCGTCGTGCTGTCGGCAGTCGGTGCTCCTCCGCGGCGGCGCTGTTGCTGCTGTACCTGGTGTGTACTAGTAGTGGTCCTCGTGGTTGGATTCGCTTGTGGTGCTGCCCCACTGCCGGGCTGTTGGCGCGGCCTGCTGCGCGGGCTCGCCTCCTCCTCCATCCCCTTCTTCCTTAATAGATGTTCCTTCCTCATCCTCCCTCCTCCTCGCGCCTCCTCCTCCTCCTCCCCCCTCCACTCCTCCTCATCCTCCCTCCGTCCTTCTGCGTCTCATCACCCTCGCTATTCTCCCTGGGGGCCAAGTTCCCCCCCCTCCCCTCCTCTGCCTTCCTCCTCACTCCTTCGCCTCTTGTGTCGATGAAAAGCTCCCCCAGCTCCTCCCCACTTGTCCTACCCCCCCCCCCGCTCGCTCCTCCTCCTTCAGTAGCTCGCTTTCTTACCTCTAGTTCCGGGACCTCTATTAGACCTTCCTCCTCCTCCTCCTCCTTCTCTCCTCCTCCTCCTCTTCCTCCTCCTCCTCTCTCCTCTATCACCTACCCCTCTCTCCTCTTCCTCTCCTCCTCCTCCTCGTCCTCCTCCTCCTCCTCCTCCTCTTCCTCATCCTCCTCATCCTCCTCCGACCAGACCTTGTTCGCCACGGAGCCCCCTTCTGCAGCCAATGCCCCTGTCGATGCCCCCGCCTGTTCCTCCCCATCCTCTCCTTCTTCCTTCTCCTGTCCACGACGGACCTCCTTCCTCCTAATTACCGATGCTCGTTTCCCCTTCTGCCCCTCCGGCTCTTCCTCCTCGGCAATGGGTGCTGACGGCATGAGCATCAGCTGGGGATGCTGCCACCCCTCCTCCCCCCCTCCTCCTGCTCCTGCTCCTCCTCCTCGAGCACGGATGGGATATCAGACCGGTCAAAAAAGTGGGCCTAAACATGAAGTAGGAAGGCGGAATACATATATTGGGTTCGGACCAGCCAACAAACAAACGCGGAAATGTATCCGTCGGTTGTGCCTGGCCTCATCGGCCGGCCCTTGGTTGCTCTGCCCACTGGCTGCCCCCCGCGCTGGCACTCTGGGGAGGCGCGGCTGCCAGACGTTCCCAGGCGAAACGTGGAAGCACCAGGCGTTGGCGGTGATAGACAAAAGCCGGCGCGATGGAGCCAGCCAGGCCGGGCGCGGCCGCCAGGCCTGTTCCTTGAGGGGCCCTGGAGGCACCAGGCGCAATCGCAACTCAACGAAAACCAGGCGCGAGCGAGCCAGGGGGGCGCGGCCGCCTGGCGTTTCTGGACGGGCCCCGAAAGACAGAGATTTGGACACCCGAAATGGGTACCGAAAGAATGGGTACAATGCCCAACAACAAATGTTGTCCCAAACCAACAGCGGCCGCTGTTGGGCAGGCGGCCTTCTGTCTCGAATGGACACAGGCCGCGGCGGCGTGGACAGCGAACCCTGTTCAGAATGAACAGGAACTGCTGTTGGACATCGTACCCATTCTTTCCGTGCCCATCTCGGGCGTCCAGAAGAGAGAGAGAGAGGGGAACGGCGGGGCCGACGACGACGACGACAGCTGACGCGGAGGTGCCAGGCCCCCCTTCCGACCGACCACAGCTTGGGGAGCTGTGCTCCCTACCCTCCTAGACGACCGACTACCTCTCGAGATGGCTGCCCGAGCCGATGGTTAGAGGCCTCAAAGATGGGGTCTGAGTAGCTGGTGTTGGAAGATCGCGCCGCATCGCCGATGCATCGGTGACATCCGCTCTGCATCGGCGCCTTCTGAATTGAGAAAATCGGGATCGATATCCAGCCGCATCGCCGATGCATCGGCGATGCGGAGCGATCCTCCGACCCCATCTGCGCGGACCTGATCTGGGAGGCCTAGAATGATCGAAGAAGAAAAGCATAAGCTGTCGGACGTCCAGTGTGATTTCTTGGATCGGCGCTGGGGCGCGTAAGCCACCATGGAGGGTCCAGCGCCCATCCAAGATATCCAAGCGGCCCTCCGACAGCGTATGTTCATGCAGTTGCTTTGATTTAGAGCAGGGCGAGCTGAGACATCGGCAGCCCTAAGCTGGTCCCTCGACCCCTCCTGGGGTCCAAACGCAACAGTTGTCCGAGCTGCGTCCAGCCGTGCGTCCAGCCGTGGCGCCGCCGAGAGGGCCCCCCCGAAGGCCGACTACCGTTGTCTCAACCAGCCCTCCTTTGATGTACCCCCAAAGGTTGGGACACCTTCATTTCAGGGGCAACGATAGGGGGGGACTGGCGCAGGGGGGGAACACATCGGCCTGGAATCGGCGATGCATCGCCGATCGATCGGCGATAGGCCCCCGATGGTGAACCCGCACGTCGGTGATCAATGAGCGATTGGGAGTCGATGCACCCCCCCCTATCGTTGCCCCTGATCCCTGGGGAGCGAGGTCTGGGTGCATCACCTCGGGGCCTGCAGCCGGGCCCCCGAATGCCGAAAGCAACGAAGAAACTCCGGTCGTGAGCCTCTCCAGGGCGCGAGAATGATCAGGCAAAAAGGGACCTCTACCCCTTTGGGAGAGGACCAAATTCAGAAGGGCCAAAATCATTAGGTATAGGTTTTTTTTTCTGCAGGTGTATCGAACCAGACCACCCACATGTATTATCCCTAAGGCGAAGGGCGAAGACGGGGTCCTCAATGAGGCTACGTCTTCACCGTGCTATTCGGGTAAGGGGTTCTGTTATCATCAATTAGAGAAGGCCTGGTTTGAGACGAAACCAAGACGAGGATAGAAACGGGTGAGGATAAGTCGAGAATCCCTAGGAACGGGCGGGTCTGGAGGACGTCTCGGGCGCCGCGGACTTCTCAGAGCGTCCCGGAACGCCCCGAGAGCGTTCTGGAACGCTCTTGAACGGATTGATCCTCACCCTAGCCCCGCCCCGAGAACCTCCAGTTGTGAGCCTCTCAACGACGCGAAAAGGCATGGCTGCACCCAACTCGGCATGCCCCGCACCAGGCCCCCGCATGCACTCCAAGAGCAACGGAAAACCTCTGGTCGTGAGTTTCTTCGCGGAGCAAGGAGGCCTGGGTTTGAGGAGCAACCACCGGCGTCAGAATTCGCCAGCCCATCGGGCCAGAGGCGTGCTAAGATCTCGGGTAACAGGCTAACAATAACTCTAGTTCGCGCGCGCGTGACGGCCTCTGGGGACCCCTGGACGAAAAGCACCCCGGGCGATGCCCTGGCGATGCCCAGGCGCTCCAGGAGCGCGCCAGGATGGCGCCGGGACGCCCCCGGCCCAAGAGACCCCGAGTCGCCGAAAGATCGTTCCAAGACGCTCAAGATGGTCTCCAGATGGTCCCAGAGGCCGCGAAAAAGCCTCAACAGAGTCTCGAGAGGCTCTCCAAGGGGGCTCCAAAAAGCAAACATCGTCCCAGTCCCCTTCGGAAAACGTAGATTTGTCGCACGTGCGACGTTTGGGGGTTCACAGCGTCAAGAACTGTCCCAGAGGCCTCCAACATCGTCCCCACACAGCCCAACACGCCCCAAAGATGGGCCCGAGAGAGCCCAAGAGGGCCCTCGAGAATGGTGACAATTGCGCAACTCGCAACCACCCAGAGAGGAACTATGTTCTGTGCGTGGCCCCCGACTCCGCGACCTCCCGGGAACCCACGAAAGTGGCGACAATTGCGCAGTTCGCAGCCTCCCTGGGGGCCGCGAGGTTTCATAAAGGCGTGCGTACGAGGTCACTCCGATGGACCCACCAGCAACCCTCGAAAGTAACGACACATTCGCAATTCGCAGGCAGACCCCAAGGGCGGCGAGGTCTCATGATGATGTGCATGACGTCGCTACCCCCAGAGACCCTTGGGAAATGACGCTATTTGTGAAGTTTGCGGCCTCCAGAGACGGCGAGGTCTCCTTCTGATGTGCGTAGGACGTCACTACGCTGGACCGCCCAACAGCCCTCGAAATTGGCGTCATTCTCGCAGTTCGCAACCCCCGAAAGACGGCGATGTTTCAGATTGATCTGCGTAAGTAAAACGTCACCATGTTGGGTCTCCAGCAGCCCTCGATAGTAGCAGCAGTTTCGCAGATCGCAGCATCCAGGTACGGCGAGTCTCATTTTGATGCGCGCAAGGTCACACTTCGGAATCCCCATCAGCCCTTGAAATTGGCAACGAATTCGCAGTTCGAAGCCCACAGTGACGACGAGGTCTCTTTATGATGCGCGTGGGACGTCACTAGAATTGCACCCCGCTGCAACCCTCGAAACCAACGACCGTTCGCGAGAACCCAACACCGGAGGTCTCGAAATAAAGCAGGACTCGGGAGGCAGAAGCGAGGAGGGGGAGGAGGAGAAGAAGAGCGGAGACCACTTTGCTCTATTCAAAACAAGAACCCAACACAAGAAGGTTAGGAACAAAAAACGTAAACTTCGCGGCCAAATCTGGATCGTGCCCGGCCACACCGCGATGCTTGCCCATTGTTTGTGGCAAGGACGGCGGGGGTGCTGGCATATGACTTGCTGTGTGCCAGCCCGCCTGACATCACGATGGCCTCCCCGCCGTGATGGCGCGCATGGGCTTTCGACAGAGATGGTGGGGGCCGACACGTTTCTCGATGTGTGCTGTCACGTGCGCGGGCGCACCTGGCTTTTTGACAGGCACGCTCGAGCGAAATGCGCGACCGCAAGCGCCAAGGTGGGGGCGCCTGACTTCGTCGGGCGCCTTAGGCAGCAGCGCGATGCGGTGCGCAGCTAGGGCAGCAAATTATGCTGCATTGCCCCCAGCGCAGCGCAGGTCGCCGAGGAGCAGCAACGCCTGCCCACGCGCTGGCACACCGTCACACCTGGCACACTCCGCGCATGCCCTGGACGTGGCGCACCTGGCGCGGTTGGACCGTGCGGCACACACGGCGCACGTGAAGCACGTTCGGGTGTTGCTAGAAGTGCCCTTGGTCCCTTGGTCCAAAGTTCCCCCGACTTTTTGCTCCATTTTGGAGCCCCTGGGGCCCTCCGGGCCTCGTGAGGGGTGCTCTGGAGGCCGCCTGGGCCACCCCGAGAATCCTGGGGGTACCTTGGGCCAGGGGCACTTCTAGCAATGCCCGACACGTGGCGCCTCAGGCGCGCCAGGCGTGTCCGGCACGCCTGGCCTCAGGGGTGTTTCGTGCAACTGGCGCGCCTGGCATGCGGGGCGCACCTCGCCCCAGCGTCGCGCACAGTGGGTCTGCGTTGGTTTCCAGCAGCTGTCCATTCATGGGCGACCGCTGAACATGCTGAGACATGAGTGCACGTATGTGTTGGGAGAGCGGGTGGCAGTGAGCGAGACAGCTTGCGGGCGGGGAGGGTGTCTTGGCGGGGGGCGGCGAGGGGTGAGAGCGTCCAAAGGAGCCTCGGAGAGACGGCACAACGCCGTGATTTTACGAAGGTTTCGGCCACATGTTGGCCCTCTGGGGGGGGGGGGCTCATTGAGGAGCTTTTTTTATCGAACGCCCCAAGAGGCCCCTGGGACTGCCACGAGACCCCCAAGACGCCCAAAGAGGACGCCAAGAAGCTTTCGAAGGACATCCGAAGAGACTCCGAGAATCATCCAAAAGGTGGCCTTTTCTGCTCGCCCTGGTCCTCCTCCTCCTCCTCCTCCTCCTCCTCCTCCTCCTCTCCCTCCTCTCCCTCCTCCTCCTCCTCCTCCTCCTCCTCCTCCTCCGCTTCCTCCGCTTCCTCCTCCTCCTCCTCCTCCTCCTCCTCCTCCTCATCCACTGATTCCCCCTCCTTCCGCCTACCTCACACACCCCTCCCCCTCTCCCGACTTATCCTCTCATGACTAATGACTGTGGTCTGTTTTCTCTAACAACTTAAGCCTGCTCCTCCTCCTCCTCCTCCTCCTGCTCCTGCTCCTCCTCCGATCACTTCCCCATCCTCCCCATCTTGGGATATGACGTCTTACCCCACCCACTATTTCACTGCATGCTGATCCACATCTCTGATCAGTCGGCGGCGAGCGAGAGGGGGAAGTGGGAAGGGGCGGGTCTTCTCAGAAGGCTCGGAAGTCCCCTGGCCTTCTGAGAAGTTTGCTAAGCCTTCCCCGAGGACACAGACAACTTTTCAGAAGGCGCGAGGGCTTCTGAGAAGTCCCGCCGCCCTCTCCTTCTCACTGCCCCCCCCGCTCGCCGCTGAAGTAGGGCAACTCGCCTGGGCATCGTTTCTGGCTGGGCCGGAACGCGTCACTCGAAACGTCCAAAATCTGGAATGTTGTCAGTGCCGTTGCGTTGTCCTTCGACGGGGTGCACGTCCTCGCCCGGCCCCGTGGGCGGGGGGGGCGACTCGAGGTGGGACTCCGAGCCGAAGACGGCGCCCATGGCCAGGGGGTCGGGGGGTCACGCACCGCGACGAGCGTGCGCCTCGCGCCCGGCGCCCCCTCCCTCAGGCCCTGTCCCTCCTCGCTCCTTCCTCCGCTGGGCCAAGGGAAGCACCGAGAATTGGGCAGAGGTGCCTAAAACTCCAATTATCGGTTCCATGTCTCCGCTTCTATCATTCCTGGAAGTGCCTCTGCCGCCATGTTCCACACGTCGTCGCATTTTGTTCGAAGGTCAGAGGGGGCGCTGACGTCTAGCGCCCGCGCCCCTCTCTCGACCCCCATCCCTCGCTGCTCCCTCCTTCATGCTCTAACACGTGGCGCCTTGGTCCTTCAGGGCGATCCTGCGGCCAGAAGGCTCGCTCTCGTGTTCGTAATCCTGCTGTGCGTGCGTTCCCCTCTGCTCTTGCCCTGGTTGCCCAGTTGGAGCTCTGACGGAGAAGGGCTCGAAAGCCCACTCCAGTCCGCCGCCGCCGCTCTGCTGTAGTATGACTCAGGGGGGCGATGGCAACACTAGTTTTCCTGCCGCCAGGAAACGGGTTGGAGCGGTCGACCACATTGGGGAGGCCGATCAAGGACACCCAGTGACGACGACGACGCCCACGAGCAGGCCCGAAACCATGTTGTCATCCCTCATGACCCAGGAGGCTGCTGCGTTACTACGCCCCCCCCGCTGGGCATCACCTAATCGTAATGATGCATTGCTTCCCCGCCCTCGATCGCGCCCTTTCCCCCATCCCTCACTCCCTCAACGCCCCTTCCTCCTCGCCCCCCTCCACCCCCAACTCCTGACACACACACACACACACTGTTTCCTCCGACGCGCCAGTGGGCTGCAGCCAGCGGCGAACGTCGAACATTGGCACTGCCAAGACGATTAACCCATCCTTTGTGTACACGCGCAAATGACAAAAAGGCCCAACGAACATCGGGCACAGCCGATCGTTGAGGTGTGGCATGCGGGTGCGGCACGGCCACAGCAAAGGCCACACCTCTCACACACACACACCACACCACAACACGCCGCACCGCGCTACACCACAACACACCACACCACACCACAACACACCGCACCGCGCTACACCACAACACACCACACCACACCACGCCATACCACACCGCACCGAAGAGCACCACACCGCACCGCACCACATCACACACACGCACACACACACACAGTCCTGCGTTGGAGGATACGGACACCCTGACAGGTAATGAGGTCCCTCTGTGACATAGAGGTGCGCAATTACTTACGAGGAGCACCAGAGCAAGGGCCCAAGGAACCCCGAGCCCCTTCCAAATCCCACGGTCCCCGCTCTGCTGCAAATCCGTCGCGCCGCAGGGGATCGGCGCGCAACACAGAATGGGCCTAGTACCGCACAAGGGGACGGGGTGAATGGGAACTGCAACGACCTTCAAATTCGCCGACAATATTTCTAGTTCGCGCGCGCGGAGCGGCCCCTGGGGGCCCCCGGCCGAAAAGTACCCCGGCAAGGTCCCGAGAGAAGCCCGGGAGAAGTCACCAGACCACTCCAGGGGAGGGTATTTTTCGACACCCCTCACGAGGATCGTGGCCTCCGAGGGGGGAGCCGCAATCGACTACCCCCAAGAGCCCCCCAAGAGGCCCTGGGGGCCTCCAAAACGCCGCCAAGGAGCCCCAAGAGACTCCCAAGAGGTCCCCAAGAGGCCCCCAAGAGGCCCTAAAGAGGGCTCCAGGGCCGGCGGCATGAGCGAAGCGATTAAATAAGCGTGGGGTCCTCGTGGGTCATATTGGGACCATCTTGGACGTCCCGCGGCGTGAGGTTTGCCTGGTGTAAACCCCTGTGCGTCGAGAGCTCTTGGACGCAGAACGCCCGAGAACATGTAGCAATGCAACTCATACGAGGCGTGCCGCGTTCAGAACCAATTTTCAGAGGAACGCCAGAAAATCCTTTCCGAAGCTTGGCGCTGAACGAAACCCCATCCCAGAAGTGGAAACCATACTGTAAACGACTACCTGGCATCTCGTCGAGTGCCGCACATACGTGAGCACAATGGTGATCGGCAACACACGCGCGAGGGAGCCCATCCCAGAGCGGCCGTGCAGAGTGACCTTCGAGGCTCAGCGGGTGCGCGAATGCAATGGCTGACAGTGAGCGAAGGAATGTGAATGCGTGCTGCATCGCACGGAACGGCCTGAGGAACGACTACACCTCGCATACAACTAGAAGGACTGTATGCAAAGCGTGTCGCGTCCAACGCTTCAAAACGGGGGCGACAACAAATGCCCCTGCACGTGTCAGGGGGACATGTCCATGGCCCTCTTTGACGTATCTTGGGGCTGATTCGGATTTGTCTTGGGGGCCTCGTGTGAAAACTTGTGGCCCGTCTTGGGGCTGCGTTGGGCTCATCTTGGGCCGTGTTGGGGCCCTTCTGGGCCCTCGCGTAACTAGCCCCCTCTGGAGGGCCGTTTGGGGCGTGGGCCCCTGTTGGGGCTATTTTAAGCCACCTGGGGGGGATCTCGCGGGCTTATGGGGCCGTCCTGGACGCTCCGGCAAACAAAAAGGCGGGCAACATCAAATATGCGAATACCACACAGAAAACACCCCTGATTGCCTGTTGGGGGCTGATTCGGGCGGCCCTGGAATGCGGTGCCGATGCCGCTGCTCCCTGGACCTCACCCGGGGTGCGTTCTGACAAGAATTTCAAGGCGAATTCCAGCGGTGGCGACGAGGGCCTCAGACGAGGCCGAAAACGTGAAGAACTGGGCGAAGGTAGCAGAAAAACTGTTCATCGCACCATGCACAGACCTCTGACCGCGTCGTCCTTGGAGTCTGGACCCTTCCCCAGGACACCAGGTCTTTCTGCTGGCGGCCCCAGGACCCTGCAAGAGCCCTCCGAGGCAAAAACAATGCAACGACCTTCTGTCGGTTTTGTCAGGCTCTGGCATCAAGGACGATCGGGTCAGCCTGGGAAGCGGTCGGCCAGGTGCGCGCTGCCCGTTGCTGAAGAGACTCCCACAACTCACGGGAACTCCCCAAACCCTCGATGCCTTGATCCTTCGGCGCTTCCACCCCTCGAGGCGGCGGGGGGCCGCCGCTGGGCGAGCGGCCGAACAATTCCAGAAAATCTTCCGTCGTGACTCCGATCCGAAAACGTCCGAAGATCTCCCTCCCGTGAAAACGCCCAAAAACTTTGATCCCTCGATCTTTCGGAACCTTTAGCGCTGAGATCCAACGTCGCGAAAACATACAGCATCGCAAAAAATCACAACGAGAATCCTGGACGTAATTTGTCTGCTGCATCTTAGAAAGCCGGATCGCACTGTGAAGGCCCTGGGGCCCAAAACTGATCGAAAACGACCGTCGCGAGAAGATTGCAACGCCCCGAGGTCACAGAACCCTCGAGGTTGCACAGAGGCCTCCAAGACGATGGGGTCGGAGCAAATGGGGTCGAAGGAGCGCGCCGCGTCGCCGATGCATCGGAAATGCTTCGGCGCCGTCGGCGTGGAGAAAATTGGACTCCCCATCCGCATCGGCGATGCGGCGCGAGTCTCCGACCCCACCCCTCGGATCCCATCGGGGAGGCCTCCAGTGGATGAGAAAATGATCGCCTACTTCCCCCTTGGATCACCTGGGGGTGTTGGGCACGTGCTGTCGGAAGGGTTTGCAGTGGAGGCTAGAGGAGAAGGAAAAGGAGAAGGGGCTGGGGGCGGCGGAAACGGAGGGAGGGGGGGTATGGGCAAATTCCGTGGAAGGTCAGCCCCCCCAGATAGACACTGCAGAAGTGTAAACTTTTGGAGGTACGCGCAGGCTTCTTGGATCTGTGCTGGGCCCCCCTCCCTGGCGCGCGGAGCGCGCCAGGGGCGCCGCCAGGGGCGCCGCCGGGAAGGCCCCAACGCCGATCCGAGAGATCCGCACGGACCCCAGAAGTTTATGTTTATGCCGTGTTATTCTTCTTCGAAGAGAGGCGCCCGAAAAGCTCGACACATCGATCCTTCGGTCCCTCCATCCTCGGAGTTCGACTCTTCGATCCTTCGATCCCTCGAGCCTCCGAGAACCTCGATCCCTCGATCCTTCGGCCCCTCCACGCACCGATAGCCTAGATTCGTTCGATCCCTCGGAGCTTCCAACCTCCGACAACCTCGATCCCTCCGTCGGAGAATCAATCCGCGCAGATTTCTTGGATCCGTGCTTGGCCCCCCTGGCGCGCGGGTCGCGCTGAAGGCGGCGGGCGCCGATCCATGAGATCCGCGCGAACCGCCAACAGTTTGTCAGCATGCCCCTTCTTCGATGAGAAGCGCCCAACGCCTCGATCCCTCGATCCCTCCAACCTCCGCGAACCTGGATTACTTTGGTCCCTCCATCTTCCCAACACCTGGACTTGTTCGATCGGTGGGTCCATCCAATCTCCGAAAATATGTTTTCTTTCGATCCCTCGGTCCTTCCAACCTCCGACAAAATTAGATTATGTCGATACTTCGGAACTTCCAACCTCCGAAACACGATTGTTTCTATCCTTCGGCACTTCCACCCTCCGAAACACTAGATACTTCGATCCTTTAGAATTTACAACCTCCCGAACACTAGAATATTGGGATCCGATCCCCCGGTCCCTCCAACCTCAGAAAAAATATGTTATTCCGATCCTTCGGAACTTCTAACCTCCGAGAACAAGATCCTCTCGATCGCGGCCCCTCCAACCTGCGCAACAAACAACAAATGCTTCTGATCCTGCGGCCCCTCCAACCTCCGAGAACCTGGATGACTTCCATCCTTCGGTCCCTCCAGCCGCCGAAACCCTCGATGACCTCGATCCTTCGGAACGTCCGCCCTCCGAGGCGGCGGCGCCTCCCCGCGCGCTGCCCTGCGGCCGCCACCGCGCAAGCCGCGCCCGCGCCGCGGCCGCGGCATCCGCGGGCGGCAGCCGGGGAGCGGGCTCGCGGCCCGGCGGCCGGGGCGGGGGCCGCCCGCGGAGCGCTTGGCGCTTGGGGGGGGGGGCGAGCCGGGCAGGGCGGAGCGGAGGCGGGCGGGGCGGGGCGCCCAGGCACGCGTGGGCGGGAGGGAGCAGGCGGAGACATGGAGGAGGAGGGCGGGTACAGCAGACTGGGTCCAGGCCCTCCCAGAGAAAGAGCACAACGCAGCAAAAGCGCATCAGATCTTGGAGTAGGAAGGCGCTCGAAATAGACTGGGATCTGAGAACCCGGAGACACATCCTTTCATTGACCGGCGTGTACGTGTTCGACCATGGACACGCCCATCGTTCCTGGACAGTCCTCGGCTGTCTTCGAGCGGTGTTCGGGGCTCTGCGGTGGTCTAAGGACGGTCATCTGCCGTTTGCGTCAGTCTGTGGCGGCTTCTAGCGGTCTTCGGCGCGAATGCTGGATGGTTTCGTTCAACACAAATGGTCCATGATCGAACACCTGAGGACGGCCTCTGCAGTCAAGACGCTGAGATAAGGACCGCTTTGGGCTCAGGAGGGGCCAGGTTTTCCAACCAGTCCTGCAATTCATGTAGTGGAATATGCTTCTGGCCTAGGCCCGCAGTGGCCAGAAAAGCCCCTTCGTTCCTTAACATGCGTTCCTTATGGTAGCACCATGACTGTGCAGGAGCGCGGTGGCAGGACCGTGGCTCTCAGATGGTGATGAAAGTTGATGAAGTTGGTCACATAACACTAAAAGGGACCCAAGGAGACACAAATCCGCCATCGTGTCGGTGAGGCACGAGTTAGAGTGTCCTCAGGTCCCGTGTTTGAACCCCTGGAGCCTCAGCCCTCAATCCTGAGGATTCTTTCAGGGGCCAGGACCCTTAATTCCCAAATCTTCTGGGGATTGCAGCGGTTCCCCTTGGGCGCGCCGAGTCTTGTCGCATGACTGTTCGGGGCCAGGAGGGGCTCAAGACGGGCCCAGGGGGTCCCAAGAGGCCGCCCAAACAGTCCAAGAGGGCCCAGAGTCGCCGAAAGATCGCTCCAAGATGCCCATGACGGTCTCAAGACGGCCCACGATGCCCCCCAGACGCCCCAAGATGCCTCCAAGAGGCCTCCCAAAGTGCCGCAAGAGGCACATGCCTCCAAGAGTGCCCGAGAGTGATTTTGGCGGCCTGGCCTCCTCGGATTTCTTGCGATTCCCTGCAATCTCTGATCTGCTCTCCTTCCGCATGTTTCGGCAACGAGCGAGGGGGGGAAGTGAGAAGGGGCGGGCCTTCTCAGAAGCCTCGGGCGCTGTCGCACGAGTCCCGATCGAGGCACGACCGAAACGGCGCAAGCACGATTTCCCCGGGGGCCCCGGGGCGGAGTTCGTGGATCGCCGCTGGCTGTGTGGCCACATGGGGTCCTGTGGCGATGCCTTCCTCCTTCCCCGCTCGGCCCTCCTGCCCCGCCTCCCTCAGGCCATCCCTCCCCTCCGACCCATCCCTCGATCCCCCAGGCCATCCCAGACCTGACAGCGGGCAAGTGGGCTACTGGCAGTGCTGCGGCTTGATTGAAAACGTGACGACGCCTGCGCCAAAAGCAGCGAAAGAACGTCGGCCCTGAAAGCAAGGACACTCCCGAGCGTGTGTTGTATCATCATCTGGGCTGTGGGCAGGCGCATCGCCGATGCCTCGGCGATGCACTGGCGATGCGACGCGGCCCTCATTTGACCCCGTCTACTCGGACCCCATCCAGGAGGCCTCCACGTAAGGACCTTCCTGGGGAGTCCCTGCGGCCTGCCGGCGCCCACGACGACGCCGCCACCGAGCGGGGACTGCGCCCACCGCGAGGCCACCAGCCAAAAACCCGCCCAGAGAACGAGCAGGACCCGCCGCCGCTCGCTCCCCCAACGACCCGCTCCTCCCGCGGCGGTGGCGACGAGCCCCGACGTAGGAACATGGGCAACCGACACCAACGCCACCAGGGATCACCAGTGGGAGGAACCAGGGTGGGTCCCCCTGGTGGGTGGTATGGTCCTCCCCCTCGCTCGAAACATCACCTATGTATCCCCAGCTCGGGGAGGCATCGTGGACCTCCTAGCTGGCGGTGGCCCCCTGGTGGTGTTGGTGCCGCTTCTCTTGCCCCCAACGACGTCGACGAAGACCGGATGAGGACGAGTCGGTCAAACCCCTAGGGTCGAGCGCCGTCGTGGGTGACCAGAGCGCTCCAGAACGCTATGCGAGATTCTTGGAACGCTCTGGAACGACTCATCCTGGAGGACGGCAGCGGCGGCAGGCGGAGAAGCAAACGCGGATTGGAAGCCCAAGTTATCCAGGATAACTCTGGCCCGAGTCCCCGAAGCACGAACCAAGAATTACCCCTGACCGTCCCCAACCCCCATGAATCGGGAATGGCTGGACGCCCGAATGATCCGGGATAACTCTTGTCTGGGGCAACTCAGCACTGGGCCTCCGATGCACGAACTTGTAGCTACCCCTGACCCCTCCCCAGACCGGAAGCTTCAGGGCTCTAAGCGGGGGCTCACAGCGGGGTCGACGTCGTCGTCGCCATCGTCGCCGTCGCCGTCTTCGTCGTCGTCGTCGTCGTCGTCGTCCTCGTCGTCGTCGTCGTCGTCGTCGGCGGCGGCGGCGGCGTCGGCGTCGGCGTCGGCGCTGGTGTCGACGTTGGCGTCGTCGTCGTTCGTCGTCGTTGTTCCCGTCGTCGCTCATTTTCGTCGTCGTCGGAGGAGGACGAGGAGGTTTGGCTGTGGTAGTGGTCCCAGACACCCGACGCCACGATTTTTGCCATCACGTCGACCCCCGAAGGTCTCGATGCACTTCCTGGGGCCAGTTTCTCATCATGAATCATGTTTGGCGGTCCCGACGCGCGGTAAAGGGTAGAGGCCGAAAATACTGAAAAACTGTCCGTCGTGATTGTCTCATGACCCGCGGCGGGGTGGCGGGGTGCTCCCCAGGCACGCCGCCGCTCCCGCGCCGGCCGCCGGCGGCCCTGGCAGGGCTTCGGCGGGGCCGAGGCGTCCCCCGGGGCTCTGGACAGCCGCGACGAGTAGCAGAAGGTCGAAGACAAAAAAAAGGAGGAGGAGGGGGAGGAGGAGGTGGAGGAGGATGACGATGGTGACTGTGAAACGGATGATGATGCGGAATATGATAATGATAACCATGATGACGGTGTACTGCGGCTGGTAATGATGATGGTACTGATGATGCGGGTACGATGATGATGATGATGCATTTTGCACTTTGCACCGTGCCCTCAAGGTCCAGGTCTCCCCTGCGCCCGAGGCGGCACGTCAAACCGCTGAAAGAAGCGTTATGCAAAAGAGCCTCGCGTGAAGCACGAGCGTGCGAGCGGGCGAACGCGAGCGAGCCATTCTACCTCGTTGCACTGGCCTGCAGCCGCGAGCGAATCGGAACCGAGCAGTCGGGCGAGGTCCATATCCCAGCGCAGGCCTTGAACGTGCGGCCATGCGTCTGGGATCCGTTCTCGCGTTTCACTCTCTGGAGCCAGGCCATGCTGCGCCACTGTAGCAGATGGACGGGCACAAGCAGGGCGGGTGTGGCGTTTGGCAGGGAGGCCTGGCGGGCTAGGTGTCCAGCCCAGGTCAGCGTGCGCAAATTCAAGTCTACGCCCCATGTCGCGTGGGACTGGAGGGCGGCAGAGACGCGGCGCATTTGGCGGCGACAGGAGTCTTCTGGCGCATCCTCCTTCCATCTCTGCGTGCAAATCAGCTGAGACAGAATCTTGCGGCGCGTGACTCGAATTAGATTGAGATCCTTGACCGCGGGGCACCATGTTCCTGACCCGTAGAGCATGACAGGTTTGATTGCTCGCTCGAGCAGCTTCGCGGCCTGCTGCCAGCGGCAGGCGCGTCCAGGTACAGGCACCTTGAGAGCGTCAAAGGCTCTCCAGGCGCGAGCTACCCTGTGCTGTGAGTCCTTCCAAGACCCGCCATCGAAGGTGAATATAAAGCCAAGGCAAGGGCAACCCTCGGCACGGGGCGCGCGCGCCAGGACGCCATCCCCTATCCTCATCTGGCAGTCGCCGAACTCGCGGTCCAGCGCCGTCGCGCCCCAGGTCAAACCCGAGGGAGGTACGTGCCAGCCGCGAGATCGCAGGACGCACCGCCAGGCCATCGTCATCTGGCGCAGCGACTCAGCCGTGCCCGCAAACAACCAGAAGTTGCCGGCGTAGAGAAATCCCGCCTCGCACAGCGTCGCCTCGCCCGGGATCTCGCGGCCCCGGTCGCGAGTCCAGCATTCGCCCAGAAACTCCTCCCAGGCATCCTCCAGCACGAGATTGAAGAGGATCGTGCTGACTGGATCTCATTGTCGAATGCTCCGGGTCCGAGGTGCTGGTTGCGTCTGGATCGAGACCATCTTGATCACCGCCGAGGCCTTCACCTCCCTCATGATGGCTAGGGTCACGGCCTTGGCACAGCCCTTCTTCTCAGCGTCTCCTCGACCGAGCGGTGCGAGACGCGGTCGAATACCGCATCGACGTCGCCACCCATGATGAAGATGGGTCGGTTCCACTCGCGCGCCTTCTCCGCCAGCGTGCGCATGCTGAAGATCACGTCCATCGCTTGGTGGAACTTCCGATAGGCGTACTGTGGGCTCCGCAGGGTCAATTTATTGGCACACCTCTTGATCAGGCCAACCGAATGGAGCTTCTCGGAGGTAGTCAGGAGCGTGATCGGCCTGTACCCCTTGAGCGTGTACGTGTCTCCCTTCTTCTTCACGAGCTGGATGGCGTGCTTCGACCAGGCTTGGCCCCGGCATACTCGGGTGCCCCGCGGAAGCGGCCATGGAAGACGGCTGCGAGCGAAGCGAGGACGCCCGAGCCGAGGGCCTGCAGGACCTCGGCGACCACCCCGCCCACGCCAGGTGCCTTCTTGGCCTTCATGTCGCACAGAGACTCGCGGGGCATCTCGGGCGAGAAGGGCGGGATATCGAGTGCATCCTCCGTCGCGAAGTGGGCGAAGAAGGCGGAGACCCCGACAGGCCCATCCCCGTCGCTGGCCCTGAAAGCGTTGCCACGCTCGCGCCCCAGGA